GGGGGGGGGGGGGGGGGGGGGGGGGGGGGGGGGAAACACACTTTAAACATCAATTATCGAAAGGTTACCAGAACATTCTTCAACTTCTTTTACAAGAAACAAAGGTTGGAATTATTACATCTTACCTGATGACTCTCATGTGGAGGATTGAACGAACATCCTGAGGGCTCAACTTCTACTGCTGGAATAATGGATGGCTTCGATGATTTCTGTCCAAGATTACATTAACATTACTTGTTCTCTTCCTGCAACAAAATCCACATTTCTTTTTCCTTTTTTTGATATTATTTCTTTTTTATTCCCCTCGTCTTTTCTTCTTTCTGCCCTTTTTTGCACAAGGATAAGAATCTAATATCTTTAGAAATCAATATTACATGATATACAAAAAATATAAGACTTGTTATTAATTAACCAGTTAGGGTACCGTACCTTACTTTTCTTGCTTTTATTTTCACCTACAGGAACAGCAAAAACAAGTGATGTAGTGTTTGATTAATTTTTTCACATTAAAATGGTTGTTGAGAACAAAAGTGCGATACAGATCACAAGAGTAATGAGAGGGGGAAAATAAGCACCTTTATCACTCCATATGTCAAACATGCCAACCTTAGCACCATCTTCAGAGGTTTCTTTAGCTTTAGAACCCTCTTCCAGTTTTTTCTTGGATTTCTTATTAATTGAAGAAGGCACAGCTTGGACAAAAGGATTCTTTGTTAATATGCTGTCACAGTAAAGTACCTTTTCTCGTTTCTTTTCAATTTTCCGCTTCACAGAAAGATCTACACAGAAAAACAGAGAAAACAATTAATAATCAGTTCAAACAATGATATATCCTTTGTCTGTTTACAACTATTGTTAATGTTAACGAATCAGTCCTTCCAAAGTAAATACGGATGTGTTTACTCGTCCAACCTTCTTTTACAGATTTGGAGCACAAAGATGGAACATAGTGCTATTTAGTTCAAAAGGCAGCCATAAGTATCGTAATGTAAGAAGAACTACTCAAAATTCTCTATTTGAAGTATTCTTTTATAATATCATGGTAAAATTAAGAAGAGCTTTGCCGCAGAAGTTTGATTCAGCGTCCGACGCATTTCACAGACTTTTAATAGCTTTTGTGGATACTTCAATTAACGTCCTCATAGCCCAATGTCAGAATTTTCACTCTTCGGTTCAGCACTTCAACTTCAAACTCAGTGAAAAACGATAAGTTTTCTTTACACAAAACAGACCACACCACAATTCGGTGGGAAGCATGAATCAAACGCGAAAATAACCATTGGAGAATCAATGCAAGAAATATCAAAATCAACCAAAAAGACAGAACACAAATGCTAGAACAAGAACAGAAACCGGCAAAGTGAAATAGGCAAGATTTCAAGGTAATAGAAATAGGAGTACAATAACCAGAAGTACCTCGAGACTTATCGACGACGAAAAGAGAATCACTGGGAACGGCGGAAAGAGAACCGCCGGAGAGAGCGTCCTTTGTAGACTTCTCGAAGAAATCCTCAATGTCCGCAGAGCTTATATTGGCTCTCCAGGCCTTCTTCCCCTTCCTAGATCCCTTTGATTTCTTTCCCATTGCTCTGAAACTGAAGATTGAAGGTCGAAGATTGACAGCACTGGGCGAAAGAGGAGGGTGGGTAGGGTTTATGTCGTTTCTATTTTTCAATTTTTCAATTTTTCTTTTTCTTTTTCCTTCATTTTTAAAATATATCAATAATTACAATTACAACCATTTATTTTGGCCAAATTATATATATATATATATATAAAAAAACATTTTTATTCTTTATTCCAAGTCAAAGGAAAAAAGTCAACCTACATAATAAGACCATTTTTTTTATACAAAAAAAACACTTTTATTCTTTATTATAACTCTTAAACCTTTTTTAACCAGGTCGAGGCAAAATAGTCAACTTACATAATACAACTATAAGAAAAGAGTCAACCTACACTATACAGCGGTTTTTTCAAACTTAATCTAAGAAAGCATTTCAATCAAACTTAATCTAAGAAAGCATTTCAAACATCGTTGTACGTCACTTTAGTCAGCTTTTCCTCCAACTTTTCGATCAATTTCGAGTTCAAAGTAATTAAGCAGAAAAAA